TTTTCACATGGATTATAAAGAAATTACAAGTGCGGTATGTTTGATGATTGAAATATCTAAGTAACCTGTGAAACCAACAGGTTGTCATAAATTTCCAGTGTGAAAATTTCGTCAACAACATTGTCCATCTTAATGTAGTCATCAATGAGAAAATCACGTCGGTAGTGAGCCTGTTACCCTTGACAGTTTGTCAAGTAAATCTGTGAACACTATATAGGGTTCGGCATTGTGAAGACTGAAAAATGCACCAAGGTCCTTTGATTTAGTGCGGCGCGATGGAAAAGCGGGCGAGTCAATGCACAGTAATACCTGCAGCAAGGGAAGTGCCCTGAATGCAAAGTTGCGAAAGCAAAAGAAACCCTTAACCTGCTGCTTTTCATTATTCGCAGCACGTCGTAGTTTGCTTATTCGCTTTTGCGACACCTTAATCTGCCGCAAGGGATCGGTTTTACAGCTCTTCTTACCACCGGGCGCCTTCTACTCGGCCACCTGGTTCAGGGGTTCGCCAATGGTTCCGTAATCGATGCTTCACGGCTCTCCAGGTCTCTCCTCGCTTTTGCCCGGAAGAATAGCACGGACGAGCGTGCCAATACCTGCCACACTGATCGACACATCGCTTTCATCTCCACTCGGAGTAGTCATTTGTTCAACATTAACAGGGACAAATCTGTATTATTGTTTTTCTGTAAATTGTTTAAATGTATGCGTTGTATATACACTACTTAATAAAATTATAACATTACGAAAATTGCCTAAGTTTCGTAAGATTACTTAGCAACAAATTATCATGGGACGATGATTTCTCTTTTAAATTAAAGATTAAATCTGAGGGCATCTTTCAAATTAAAATATTAGTAGTTTGACGACTAGGATGGAGTTTTTCGGTAGTTGAAAGTTCTTCACCTTCAGTTTAAAAGAAAACTTCAAATTTTTAATGTAACGAGCTACGTGATCCTTAAATATTTTCAATAGTATGAACAAAAAAGCAACTATTTCGACATTTCCGATTTTCGTGCATGCATGTCTCTAGAACGTTATCTATGGGAATCAACGAGGACGCGCGCCGAGAAGAATTTTCTAATCTGCTGATCGTCGGCCTTGTTCGTATACAGTATACAGTGAGCGGGAACAACAGGAAGGGTGTCGCCGCTCGAAAAATGAGAATGCATTACCTCGACGCCTTCTCTCTGAGTTCTTGGGGAGATCAACGTTGGTGGTTCGGCGGATAGCACTGACGTCGGGATCTGGATGCTATTACGAACGGAGAGCAGAAGAAAAAGAGAGGTCGAGACCGAAGAAAAACGGAGATGGAACGCTCCTCTCCTCGCTCCCGGCAGGCATTCCAAAACAAAGAGCCGCGATGCTGCTTCACCGGTGGACAATATGTAAATCAGTGGCTGGCCGTGGTCACGATGTCGCGACCTCGTCGCGTCGTCCCGCTTCGGACTTCGGACTACGTTCTTAAAACCTTCGCCACCACCGCTAAACCGACTGCCTCCGCCGCGTCTACTTCGCATAAGGGTCCGAAAGATCTGTAACGATCCATAATGACTCACCCCTAATACCGTGGTACGATTTTTTCTGGAATTGATTTTTGTGGAAAGAATTAATCATATTATCAAATTACCACTAGAAGTTTTAACAGAAATCGGAACGAACAATGAAATAAAATTTCATGAGAGCTAATTTAAAACAGGCACGCTATGAAACAGTTCGGCAAGCCTATTTTAAGTTTTTAAAAATCATGATTCTTTGAGAGCGAGAATCATTTAAGATATTTAATAGAAATAATTCTTCAAATCGGTTTCTGATATACTCGGTCGTTATTTGCCACGGCAGCAGGTCGCACATACAGGTGAAGATCGTCATGGTACAAGAACGATGACACCAAACGTCGGGTTAGATGACTCTGGTTCCCATGCATTTCGCGAGGACGATCGACAATATATGCCAGCTCTGAGGCCAATATCTCGAGACGCTCCTATCTACGGCAATTAGCCGTTAAAAGTGTTCGTGTGTTTCACCATTTATCAGTTGTCCCACCCACGCGCCCGAATCATCCTCGCCGCGTTATCTCGCGACAAAATGCATCTCGTTGGCCCGGAACAACTGGCTGAAATCGTGTTCTGGCGTTCGAACCACCGCGACGCGATCGTCGTTCGCGCGCACCGCACGCCACACACGCTCGACGAAAACGCGACGCCAATATATATTGCGAAACATCGAAACATCCGAATTTCCATAACGCCGCTCGCCTCCCGCCAAGTTCACAATCTTTCGTTCACCTTCTTTTTTCCGCTTGATGTCTACGTGCTATTCAGGTTTCTCGGAAGCGGTCTCACGGTTCCCACGAACGGCACCTCTTTTCTCTGAAACCATCTCGACATTGACCGAGGGAAACCACGTTCCCGATGCTACACATGCCGTTCCCATCTAGATTTCTGTCGAAAAGTTGGGAAACACTCGGTTCGCTTATGATCTTTGACTTTCTCCGTAACGAGCTAGCGTGTATCATTGAGATTTGATGACTTTTTAGTAGTCTTTCACGTTAGAGAATTGTATTCTACCGTTGCTCGGTGAAACGTTATCGCTGATCAGAATTATGATATGAAATATTAAATTAAAACGCATAATGTATATCTATGAAACTTGACCTACATTACTATAAATGAATTTACTAATTAATTCGGCAAAAGAACTTTACTTAAGTCAAATAAATTCTCAAACATAGTAGTTGCAGTAAGAGGGTGGATTTTAATAGGGAAGTGCCAGCTTTTGTTAAAAACGAACATGTAAACCCTTAAAGTCATTCACGATGATAAAAATAATTTAATCTCCTTATGAAGAGAATGTCAATTTTAATAAACGCTTGAAAGTTTGTTGGAAACATTGGCAAGCTTGAAAATCGAAATCGTTTCCGTATTTTCATCCACCTGTTAGCATTAATCATAGATAAGTGAAATTAGTTAAGTAGAAGGGAACGTCAAAGCATGTCCTGATGGAAGCTTATCGCCATGGCAACGAGCACCGTCCTTTTAAAGTTGGAGCAATCTCGAATCCTCGTATCACGCGCGAGGCGTTACGCCCACACGCACAGGGGGCACACAGAGGAGGGTTTCATGGCTCTCCGCTCAACTCAACTTTGGAAGCCTTTTGTCTCAAACGTTATTGAAAGTTGTCTCGAGGGTCACTAGGAATGTAGCGGCAGGATGCCTTCGGGTATTCAAGGACGGTAGAGGAAGGGAGTAAAAGAGGAGGCGAGAAGAGGGCGACGACAGGATCGAGGAGAGAGCGAACGGTGAAGGAAGAAGGATAGGAGGAACGAGATAGCGGGTGATGAAGGAGAATGGTTAGGAGGTGGCGAGGAGGAGACTTCCATCCAACAGGCCATGCGGGCGCACTGTCCTAATTACAACGAGGCCTCCTATTTTTTTCGAGCTGAAAGGAGCCGAAGTATTTGCCCGCGGCAACGGAGACTAGACGATTTCGGGCCGCTCCCAGGACTTGCTCGAAACTCCAAGTGCAAAAGGATCGTCCGCACTTCGCCGTCATCGAGGATCGGGCGAAACGGGAGAAAAGAGAGACACCACACCGCGCCGTGTCGGTAGGGAAGACGGTGGAGGAGGGAGGAACAGAGAGAGAAAGAAATAAAGGGCGAGAAAGAGAGAGTGAGGGAGGGGAGGGGGGCAGATTCTTCGAGGGAACGTCGCAGTTTTCCCAGCCATTCATGGTACCAACCGATTTTTTTGGCCTCTTCTCACGACTCATTCATACTTCGCCGCATGAGATCCGATCGTCGATCCCTACCTGCATCATCAGCCAAGACACCGGCGCGTCATCCTTTTCGGTCCTCTTTTCGGCTCCGGGTCCGCCGCGCCGCGCCGTGCCGCGCCGGTATGTATGCGCCGGACCTTTCGGATTCCACTGTTCGCTCCTGCCTTGTTAACCAGCCTTAAATACTTGTCGGCTTCCTCGATGATCTCTGTATAACAGGACGTATGAATATTTATATTCTCCGGCAGTATTTCAAAACACGTCGTTCTTCTGAATCACCGCTTGCGGTTTTCCTTTTCCTTCTTTCCTGCCTCCTCCTCGTCCACCTTCTCTATTTCGCTTTCAAATTACCTAGGCGTCGGCATAATTCGTCGCGTTCAGATACAAAAAGAAGGAGGAACCGAGACTTCTCGGCCGCTCAGTCTTACGACAGTTCGTACGCTTTTGTCGTTTGGTACGCTGAACAAACTTGGTGACGGTGTGATTATGATAGAATTACTGATCGTCGGGGGATTACCGGTCAAATGCGTACAGGTAACGATGCAGGAAGAAGGACTAACGATCTTAATGGCTAGGCAAAACATTGACACCTTGGCGGCGCTCGAGAAACCATCTGGGCGAGGACGCAGAAGGGAAGACGGGCAGGGATCGTCAAACAGACGGTCAGCACGAGTGAAGTGGAAATCCTTATGAGAAGGTAAGTTGGGAGAGCGATGACAACGAGCTAACAGCATAGGCAAACACGGCGGCTTCGGACAGAGCCGTGCCCGGGACGATGATCATGTACTTACGCGTTTCCTGTCAAACATCGAAGACGAGCGCATGCACGACGACTAAGCAATTGATCATGGGAAACAACCAACTCGTTCCTCGTGTCCGGCCAGCAAATTTAGCAGCGGGATAAGGGATGATCGACGCGAACGAAACGAAAATCGCACTACTTATCGTCTATATTTTTCTCTCACAGTGTAACTTCAATTACGTTTCCTATTCCGCGATTAAAATGTAGTTTATTTATGAATTTCTAGTACTTACTATAAAATCATATTAAATTTATAATATTCATATTTTACGACACCTCTAAAATTGATTATTTAAAATTGGCTTGCATTATGTAATAAATGGGAAGTAATAAAAAAGGGAACGTGTGATCGTAGTTTTAAAGTTTGTCGGATAATTAAAGGATTGGAGAGCAGAGTTGAAGAGTCAAATAAAATGACAAGATATTCCATGTTGATCTGTCTTTGGTTTAATATGATACAACAGAGCGGGCATTCGGGGAGAGGGGGGCCCGTTTACATATTACATATTCACATGTATACTTATATTTTTCATTTTCTACATCATCAAATGTGTTTATGTACAACATATACCAAGCAATCGATATTTACTTTACACGAAATTTTTCCCATATATCGCGCGTAGAATGTGCCTGTAGAAAACATCACCGGAATCGATTATTTACGTAACTCAATTCAATCGTTACGATTCGACGAGTCAAGCACATTCTCATTGAATTATTCACATTCAAAATTTTACTTTGGACCGGCTGGACCCTTGTTTCGGTAGGTACGTTACACCTATTTTCTACATGGGTAACAGAAGACAGAGATTGCCGAGAAACGTGATTTTCGCAGTGATTTCATGCGAATTTTTGACGGTTTCATCTGATCGGCAGCCGGCAGAATTACTTTGCTAATCGACGCTTGCACAAGCTGCGCTGCTGCTTATGACCGAATAATAATACATTCAAAGTCCAATCTTAAAGTAGGTAACTCTGTGTGATCTGTTCTCGATGACGAACGCGTTCGACTTTTCGCTAGACCAGTAGATCTGCGGTTGCGGAGCGATCGAACTTAAATGGCAGTCTTCCTTATTTTAATAAGAGATAAAGATGCTAGAAAATGATCAATTCTTTCTAAGGATGAACGACCGTCTATTAAATAAAAATATATAAAACAGGATGATAAAATGAAATGCGCATTTCGAGATCGATTCGCGAGATCGACAGCCGCACAGATCGGCCTGTCTTTCCTTCTCTCTTTCTGTCATTCGTTCACAATGTAACAGACACATACACGCGCGCTTTCTCTCGTACATCTAACTCGTACGTAATATTTTTTTCTTCCTCCGTTCGCTTTTTCCATTTCTCCAAAGTGTAGAAGAATCGGGTACACGTAGCTTGATTCAATGGATGATAATTAATTGTATGAGGGGCGTTCACGATGCATATCACAGATACGATGATATGGAATTGAAGGTGTTTTTTCTCGTGTAATACATTCCAGAATTACGCGTGCTATTAGTTACGAACTTACTGCACACTCTGTACCGACTATCTAATGGTAAGCTTATAGGCCGTCATTTGCACGCAAATTAAATATACGATAGACAAGATTCGTCAGCGTTTTCGTTGCAAGACGAAACAATTAGCTGTATATCTAAGCTCGAATGACAAATTGTAAGTACGAAAAGTCTGCGCAGTCGACTGTCTTCGACATTCTGTTAGGCGACACGTCTTCCTCGATGCGAAAGCTCATAAAAAAGTTTGAAAGGGAAGAAATAAAATTTAAATAGAAACCTTAGTAATATACATAAAATGAATTGGATTAATGTTTAAAATTCCTTAAGTTCAAAGAATAAACGGGTTGTACTAGTTAGTAAAAAAGAATAAAAAAAAGGAGCTTTCGGGTCGCTGAAACTTGCATTTCAAGTCTGAAACAGCCTCGGGTATCGAAAAAAAAAGTGAAAGTGTCGAAAACTGCATTTAAAAAAAAAAAAAGGAGAATGAAAAAGGGAAAGAAAGAAAAGAGATTTCTCTAAAAGGACCACCCATTGAATCTCAATACCGTATTATAAGATCGATTTTAAAATTAATTGAAAAAAATGTAGCTCGTATTTTGCGCGTGTAAATATATCATCGCAATGAATAAAAAGTACGTGAGGAACGGACGTTGCTGTGATCTCTATCGAATTTGTATGTCCATACCGTGCAAAGGTACGTCAAAGCGAAGAGAGTTGCAGCAGCAGCGCGGCGCGTAACGTATAATGGCGTTGGGCCGCGTCGATGCGTTTCCTTCTTCTTTTCCCTACGATACTATGAAAAATTCGACTAATGATATTAATAATAATAATAATAATAATAATAATTAATAATAATAATAATAATAATAATAATAATAATAATAATAATAATATATATCCTTCTGTATCTCTCCCTTACATTCTATGTAATCGTAAGCTCAACTAGACACTTCAAATATAGTTAATCGGACATGTAAAATCTTTATAAAAATAAAATAAATAATCTGAATAAATACAAATATAATAATATTACAGTTAGTCAATAAATTAATATTTAGGATTAAGAGGGGGACGCAGATGGCTGGTCGAGAGATTAGATTCTCATTTTCTTCGTTTCTCCCTCCAGTTCTTGTGCTCGACGAGACGTTCGAAATATACTCCGTCCTCGTCGCTATCCTTTGCTCGCGTGTTATACCACGCGACGTAGCTACGCGCACAGAATTTCCTTACTTTCTTCTCGCCCGACGCAAATAGTCTAAGTTAAAGCGCGAATACTGTACTTTCTTGTATACTTAGGATATAATACCGCTGCGGTGCACAAGCTCGTTTAGACGGATTCCCTTTGAATCCCTCTCTCTCTATCCTCATCGGCTCAACCTCTTTCACGTCTTATTCCTTTCCCTTTCACGTTCTTCAATGCGAAACACTTGTCGGTGTGGCTGGTTTGAAATTTCGAAATAAAAACCGAGTACCTACATCTCAAACGAGAAACTATTCAAAAGGGAATAAGAACACCGTACTGGATCGACAATAATGATCATCGATGACCGTTCATGGATAATACATTTCATCGATCGAATATTTCCGTTTTGAATAATTTATCGATTGAAAATAATTTCGCTGGATGATGTTGAATACTAGTCGATTAAAATGAAAATAAATCGCGTCTGATGATAAAATAGTGAAACGCGTTAAGGTATTCACAGGTAAAACATGTTACGGGGTAAGTATTTAAAATTTGTACGAAGCGACGTGAGAGAAATCATAAGGGAGGAGAAACTAGACTACAACAATTTTGTTCGATGATAAGAATCTCAACGAAGTGTGAAGATATCGCTCAAAACTGGCTAATCTTCGTAGTCCTTTACCGTTTCGTTCAATCTCCTGCAGTACGATTATACAATACTTTGGACACGGATTCCTTTTTTTTTTTCACGAAACGCGTTAGGAGAACGCGTGCTAGCGTGCGTAGACGTGTAAACAAAACTATAGGTAGTGATATTATGCACGTGCTCGCATACGATCGTGTGACTACGGCGGCGAAAGCCAATGGGTTGCGCATGGTACGACTCTGCTTCCTGCTTCCATCCTCCTCGTTCTCTCCCAGATCTCGCTGGAACCCCGAGTATCGATGGTGCGTATATGTAATCGGCGAGACTCGTTAAAAGAGTTCTTTTGGTCGATCCTGTCTCAGTCTCGAAGCAACGCTGCTGGTCAGCTTGATACACGCGCGCGTGTCCGCGTTCCGACGATACGGAATATCGATCGATTCTCACCGATTGCGACTGATACGACCGACGGATAGGTCGATCGTCATCGTGGATGCGTGTCTCTCACCGGAAACGAGACGGAGTAACCCTTAACGCGCCTGACAAAGCACGCCCGGTTACTGCCATTGTGTTTACCCACTTGTTTGCTCCAACCAATGACGAGAGTTGGCTGTCATCTAGGTTGGGCTGTTCCGGTTTCCTGAGACGGATGAGTCGACGCCTGGTAGCCCTTCTTTGGCTTCCGCCTTGCCATCCTCAGGACTGAAGACCGCGGCGTAGGTGCTCGAACACCTCCACCACGTATTCAAGGCCGTTCATGTAATCTCGAAAGATCAGCCAGTCGCGCAGGTTTCTAAACGTCTCTGCTGACATTTCGCGGTATTCAGACTTCATGATGTCCCGCGTCACGTCCGGTCGTGGTGACAATTGACGCTCCACCAGTGCCACTTGCAGCTCGCAAAGAACCTGCAAATTTATTTGTTTTTGTCTCGTCATACATACATCTTCGTGAAACGAAAAAACGAATTAAATGTTGACGCAATTTTGCGCCAGAATTGTCAAATCTAGTGCAATGGTGGAATTTTTAATTTTTAGAACAAATATTAGTATCAAGTTTGAGAAATCGACATGAAATGTAGCAAGGATCCATACTTGTTAAATAGACTATAGAACTGACTATAAACTTTTTTATTTTCCGACACGGGCATTTAGCTGTCCGGGTTTCGCGTCAAACTCGTAAATGAGTAATAAGATTTTTATTGCGTTTGAAACAATGGAAAATATCATGATTCAGGTTAATAGAATTCACAAAGGTACCACTGTAGAAGTTATTCAAGACGTTTTTTTTATCATCTCTCTCTCTATCTCGTAAGTTGCAATTCCATTCATTTTCAAAATTATAGAAGACGAAATAACGTAATTCAGAATTGATATTTGAAAATTCGAAGTATTGAAATTATTATCTTCACTAACCGTTCGCAGCTTGTTCTCGGTGTCCTTAAATTGTCTCCGGAACTCAAGCTGAAACTCCTCTTGATCCCAAACAATTTGTTCCAAGCCTACCGCATACTTTTGCATGTATTCATATGCATTGATGAGTGCCGTATCGAGCTGTAAAATAAATAAACAATGTTTAGTTTTTAATCAAACAAACGAAATGAAAAGAAGAAGGTGAGCAAACGATACATACTTCTAATCTGGCGAGGTATTCTTGAGCTAAAGGTTCCCCTAGCTGTTTGGGAATTTCTGTCGAGCCAGGTAGCCACTCGTAATGATGGTTTTTAAATGATGAATGCAAATCGGCGAAGTCGATGTTAAATGTTCGCTTGGCCTGAAAAATTACAAACAAGAATTGTACGTGTTATTAAAAGAATTAGAAATTTGCTAAAAGTATAGTAATTACTAATTTTGAAAATAACTCCTAAATAAAATAAAGTTAGATTTTATCATCGTCTTTCGAATAAACAGAAAATTAAAAAATGTAACATTAATATTTTATCCTAAATATAACATAGACTCCCTTATTTACATAAATTAGTTTAAGAAGGAACAAGGTAGAAAGAGAACCAGATGGATAGTAAAGAAAGAACTAAGGAAAAAAGAAAATAACAGAGCTTAACGAAGGATGAACACTTCTCTTCGTGTTAACTGTTATGTTCCGTGCGAGTAAGCCATATTCACACGTCAGAGGTAGCAATGATCGGCCATGAAACGCTAAATGTCTTTATTTTGAAAACTCGCGCGAGGCCAGCATTGCATCCGATCCGTGTAGGGATTCCATATGTATGCAAAAATCTCAGGCCGAGTCCTTCATTACGGGAGCAGTATGGTTCAATAACAGGTTGTCGGGTTTAGTCACCGATTAAATAGCGCCTCGTCCACGATCAGACTCCCGATATCCCTCGTTCCTGGTACTAGTATATGGGAACGTGGACAAGCCATATGCTAACGGATGAGTAAGCCAAGTCCAGGCCAGGCATCGCGAATCCCGTGCGAACACGGCCACGCGCCTGCCTTCAGCGGCCACGGATTCGGTGCTGACTTTTTGGGAATACCAAGGTGGGTCAGCTCGTGAAATCTAGACCGTTACCCAGAAATTACTTGGAAGCTCAGAGGCGCCGGGCCAGACACGCTAATTATGCTTTCGCCTGGCGTACGCACACGTACACACGTACGTACATCCTTACATGCACGCATACACAGCCCTCATCTCGAAAACGTTTATGAATCACTTGGCAGATTCACAACGCGAGAACGAGCACTGAGTCGCGTAACAAGCTCGAAGGTAGGGAGAACTCCCTCGCGCACTTCGCTCGCGTCACGACTTCGGGATGCTCCATTAGTGGCTACGTTCCGCGAAACTTTAAGCGCCGCACGACCGATATAAAAGGATCTAACACGATCGCAAGGTCGCATCGGCATACGTCCGAACGCTGCGTTTCGCGTAACAAACGTTGTAACCTTCATCATTTATGCAAAGCCAAGATTTAGAATCATAGTAACATAAATCGGAAATAATTGATAATTATATTTTCATGTCATCTAAACGTAAATCAAAACAGAATAATTCATAATATTTTAGTGTTAAAATAATACCGATTGTCTTTTATACACTCTTCTCGTGAATAATTAATTTTCTGCAAGTGACCATAATTTGCATATGGTTTCATAACTCCTTCATTGATGACTTTCATTCCACATAGTATCATATTTGAAATAGGTATCAATTGATCCGGTTTACGTTTACACAAGTAGCTACATCAATGAATGTCTTCGACCTCGCATCACGGACCAGCTGGCTCCCGCAAAGATAACATAGCTATCTGGGCCCTTATCTGGGCCCAGGAATGGAAATAATCATCACGCGATACTACTCTCATGACCTGCGGAATGCGATAATGCTTTGACAAGCAAACAACATTCCTCAGAATTACGCTGCTGATAAATTGTTTATTCTTAAAAGTAGCATCTGATATCGTTAAAAAGGCAACGTGTGATCCTTTTCGCATGCGATGGAGCTGAACGATTTGCAATTTCGTCGTTCAATACATCAGATATAATAAAAAATGTGTATAAATCGAATCTGAAGAATGCAACTAAAAACGTTTTGTAATGGAAAACCATAAAATGTTATAAAACAAACTGCTAGACCTGTCGAATCCTTACACTAACAGAGTCTCGTGTGTATACTGAGCCGTACACATAGTCGTTTTCGTTGATCTGTAATCGATCATCCTCCACGCCCCAATCGTTACGAAACCCTTCAAGATGATACAAACACCTTCCAAAATGGAGACTCTGTATGGGAAATGTTAAACAGGATGATTAAAATCAACCGGTCATTGATTGCATCACGGACTGTTATTATTACCGACACGGATAGCAGTGACTACCGAAGGACCGAAGACGAGCACCGGCTTCATGCAGGGCGCCAATCATGCATCATCAATAAATAATTTTACGATTATTTTACGCGAACGATCCTCGTAATAAACAGGTTCAAGCGTATCTTTACACATTTGTTTTCCAATTTATCTACCTGTCTTCCCATCTCCATACAAATTAAACCATTCAAATACTCAAATCCCTTCGGTCCGTTTTATGACTCGCTTCCCCTTCTAATGTTGATGCTCGTTGGTCAACCACAGTCATCACACGCAGGCAGTTTAGTAGACATACAGATAGAGACGTACACAGACAGTTTAGTGAAGACGTAGGAAATAGGGGAACGTGTAGGAGGTCGTGTTTTATCGATTTCAGAATGAACGGGTCGTGGATATCCGCAACAGGTCAGGTGAAACGCGTGGGTCACTCGTATTGTTGCTTGTTTCAAGACGGTCACGAAGTTGTAGCAAAAGGGACGGAGAGAAACGGGGGAAGAAACGACGAAGAATGAAAGGAATTGTCGCTAACAACCACTGGCGGCGAGCAAATCTGAGACGCGGGTCTTTTGTGCCTCGTAAAAGTCTCCTCGGCCACACCGAGGCATGAATAATCGTAAAACCGGGCTGAAAACTGACAGGAAGTAGGCTGGCAGCGAAGTAGGTATGGTCTCTGCGGTACTACCGAGGACCCGTCAAAATCAATTAGCCTCTCAGTCTTTCTTCTACCGCGGCTCCACCGCTCCACCGCTTATTAGAAGTTATAAAATTTCGGTGCGACGACGGCCTCGGACCGATCGAATGGTTCGCCGTGCTCGCGATACTCCACGACACACAAAGGAACTACAGCTTTACGCGAATGAAAATCTTTCCATTTCAGAAACACCATTTTCCGGTCAATTAATCTTTCCTCCGCTCTATACTTTCGCGTGTAATGAATGTTGGTTAGAAACCAGTGCCACGGAATACGACGTAAACCAATCTGTCTGTGTTTTGTAATTTAACCACTGAAACATTTTGTCCAATTTCATTCGTCGGTGAGTGTCAATCACATTAAGATCATGAAAGTTCTTTACTCTGATACGTATGTGCAATTTTATCTTATTCGAGAATTGTTTCAAAACTGCTTTGCTCATCGGATTGTAATCGTATCTTCATTACTGCAGAAACGCGACCAACGAAAATTAATGTAATCCTAAGTTTTTAAACGGAACGTATTACGCGTAGTGACCGCAAAAGCGAAATCGGTCAGCAAGGAGAGGCAGGCATATTCGAAAAATATGTCAACGTAGAATGAAATCGTACGGATTGACATCCAAGTCAGCCGAGTAGCAGAAAATACGTGTCGTAGTGCGTACTGAATGTATCGAGGTGAGTAAATGCACTGGCGGGGTTGTATATCCGGTCTGCGCTTTAGTATGCAGGCGGAGTGCCGGTGTAGTGTATAGATGCCACATCCTTGGCGGGGAGGGGCAGCTTCCGATTCTGATTTATTGGAATCCTCCGCTTCCGATATTTTATCCGATTCCTTCACGTACCGCCGCGCACATACACGACTCGTAGACGTCGGACTTCCTATCTACGTAGAACAGAACGTCGAACATGTGTCCAATCACTTGCACTTACTCACGGTTATCTTACAAGGACGTATCGTACAAATCCTCAGAAACTAGACAATCAGATTTTGGTAGTCATACACACGACATTGGAGCTATCTGCCAAGATAATTTTATTGCTTTTTTTCTAATCACTGTATTATTATTTTCAATGACTATACAAATAATTGCGTTAAACGGTTATGTTTCTCTTTTTAAAACCTGTGAGGGAAACGTGCGATTTAAGTATCAATTGCAATTAGGAATGTGCACACGTAATTCGTGACTCGAAATTACACCTATCGCGCGGAACACACGTGCATGTGAGAATCAGTCTCATGAAACAGTCCTTGCTTCCCGGTATCCCTGGCTAATCTACCCAGCTCCGCAGTCTGCCGACACGCCGTTCAAGCGATAACGAGATCTGGTGAGTGACGTCACTGGACCACCAGACGGTGCGTCGCCGAGAATATCGGTACCGAGGGACGTCCTCAAAGAGGCCGAAGCTCCAAGGCAATCGAGAAAGCCGGTTAAGCACCGAATGAAACAGGCATACTCCCATTTGATCGGCTAAAAAGCAGTATTGCACATAGTAATCTATTAAATGGTGACGTCACAGAGATCATAACGTAGTGGGGAGTAGCAGAGAGTCTGATCCGTTGACATGTCAGTTTTTCTCAGTCATATGCTACTGCGACATCTCCGTTTAGTGAATTACTGTGGAGCATCGATAACAAATTTCTTTTTCGAACGTCGCCACGTTCTCCCAAGAATCGGAGTAAAAAAATTGAGGACCGAGAGGACCGAGGAAGAAAGACTGTTAGCGAGCCAAATGCGATATCGGATTATACTGACTTAGAAAATATCAGTATCGAGTATCGTGGTACGATGATGTAACGATGACTTTGGCGGGGCTACAGGGCGGAACGAGCCCTCCACATGCGAGGAGACACACAAATCCCTTTATACTCGCACACTATGAATGCTAATTCATTCTAAGTTCCGTACTCGTTTCGTGTAGACAAATGCGTACTTTTACTGGACGCGATTGAAATTAGGCACGTGAAAAACGTTGCCAATCGTTTGTGCGTCGCGTAGATTGTAAGATCCACTTGCTACAAATACGAATTAGCTTTGACTAAGTGGTTCAGGTGAGCTAAATAAAAAGATTCCTACCGACACAGTGTAATCGAAACTACACGTGGTCGCGTAATAGGAAAACAGGAAATGCATAGGAAAAAAAGAAGGGATCGTGGAGAATGAGTCAAGTCGCTCCGAGAATTTAGCGGGCGGGTAGGGATGCACAGTTATGGGGACAGAATTATGTCGACACGTGTGCACGATGCATAACTAGGGGGACGAGCTTAATCTGTCCTAAAAAGAAAAAAAAAAAAAAGAGAGTGAAGTTTCGCGTGTGTAACCATACCTTCGATCCTGCGGTTTCCACGTCTCTTTTTTCGGATCGTTTCAGAAGAGAGTAACCTTGAGCAACAAGAGGCCGAACCGGGGGCCCGTGATTTATTGTCCTTGGCTAGAAATAATAAGGCACGATCGGCTGGGAAGATTCTTTCGAAACGAACGGATCTCCGTGCGCGGTCACACGAATCTATTCCTTTTTCACCCAAGATCGCTTACACACGAGTTTTGACGATATTCGCGAACATTGTGGCGAGCTGTCTAACCTAAGCCGATCGGCGACGGATATTTACGTCCGATACGCGACTCAAATGCGAACACAGTTTTATTTCTGGCAACTCTGTATTTCCAATCTGCAATTACGAGTAATAAAAATTACGCGCGATACTCAGCAATGAGAGAATCGAAGTAATTTTATTGAGATCGCTTTCCAATCCGTTCCGACCAAACGAAGTCGCATTCGAATACACAGTTGAATTGACAACCAGCTCCGATTAAAATGATGAGGATATAATACTTCATAAATAAAACAGTGCGATTTTCTGGAAAGTTGCGTAAAAAGAGAATAAGGAAAACAGAATCATACATTTATGGGATAAAATAATTATTACATTAAAGACTCTAATT